AGCTACACGCTGCAAACTCAATGAGGATTCATTACATCTCTATTATTTGCCTCCAATTGAAAAAGTGATCAAAAATAATTTGGGAATTACTCGCCTCATTGGGCTCCAGCCCAGCGATCGCACAGAAACAGTCACGGAAACACGGCTTTGCTGAATAGACGGTTTTCTGGAGCCCATTTGTGTGCAGCGTGGGAAATCGGTGCGGCTCCCCAGAGGGGACGTGTCCGTCCCTCCCACGGGCTGCGCCTCTGGCCACCTCCATGAAGCATCCGAGAGGAGCCCTGCTGTGCCCTGCAACAGCCCTTCTGAGGGTCAGCATCGCTGACTGGGTTTGCGCTGCCCCAAATCCCTCCTTTCATGCCGCTGCAGGGACTCTCCGAGCGATGGATCTCCCCAGGCTGACCACGGCATCCCCGCGGGACCTCACTCTCTGAGCCTGACTTTTCAGGACGGTCTCTGAAGGCTGGACGAGGCGGTGGTGTCTGCGCATCCCCGAGTGCCTCCCGGCATCAGAGCAGCACTGCAGGAGCCCCCCCGGGGCTGGGGGTAAGAACTGACATAGGACATCGAGTCCTGCGTTTATTTTAATAGTTTGGCCAACCCGTGTGAAGAGAACCGACTATAAATAACCCATCGCAATCGCGTGAGGATCTCTGTGGTTAAAAACAACGGTAGTAACTCTCAAACCAACAACTTCCATGCAGTGAAGAAAAAAAAAAAAAAAAAAAAGCTTTCTGCATAGCAAAATAACGGTGAGGTGGAAAGGGCAATAACCGCCCGCAACCAATCCAGATTTGCTCTGCACACTTTCCCCCAGCGAAGGTCCCACCCCGGGTAACACACAACTGTCTGTCCTGTCACAGAACGGGATTAAAACCAGACCATCCAGAAGCGACCGTCCATACTTCCCCGGTGCTGACATTTGGGTTAGAGCAGCCGAATCCTCTCCTCCCTCTCTGCAATCATCAGCTGCCGACCCGCAGGCAGGAGAAGAGAAGCGGGTTTGGCTTTTGCCACTGCACTGGAGGACGAGATGCTCCTGCTGGGAAATCGGCTCCGGTCTGTTCACTGCAACAACCGGCCAGCACGGCCCTCTGAGACACCGCTGCCCGGGAGCAAGGGGAAAAAAATAGATGTGTATTATGGAAGAAAGGTAGCTGAAGGAGGGGGCAGCTCAGACACCTCAGGAAAGGAGCCTGAGCACGTTTGACCCGTGAGGACGGGGCTCAGCATCTCCCACATGTGCCAGCAGTGCTCTCCACCGAGTCCAGGTCCCCCCGAGCAAGTGTTCGGCCTCCTCCAGGTCCCGAATGATGCTCTGGTACCCCCCTGCAGAGAGATGGGCACGCAGGCGCTGCGGGCAAGGCTGGCACCAGTTCTTCATGGGCCACAAAAGGAAAAAGGCAGAATAAGATGGCAAAGCCCGAGTGTCAGCGCTCCGAGGAGGCGGTGCGATGGGTCAAACGTCTCAATTGATACAAGTTGCTGTGGGGTTTTTTTCAGCTTAAAAAAAAAAAACCCTCAGGGAAACTAATCAAATGGACGGAAGCAAAACTTCCCCTTTAGAGTCCGTTCGTTTCTATTGCTGTCACGGATGCCGGGGTGGAGGACCGGGAGGTGGTGGCCGAAGTCTTCTCGAGGGCCGGGCTGCGCACGCCGTCGAGATGTTGCAGCCGCTGCAGGTCTCGCTGGCTTTGCGACCGCAGTTCCAGCAACTCTGCAAGACCAAAGACACCGCGCTTTAAAACGGGTTTAGTTTCCAAGAGCCGCAGGACGCTGCTGACTCAAGAGCTCTGGAGGGGACTGTTCATCCCCCCCCGGCCCAGATTTACCAATATTAAAATGAACAATCCATTAATGCCTGCTCTTTGCTGAGGGTACCAACGCCTGCTCTGCCCAAAACCGCCTGCCAGACTGCACCGGTCACATCCTCTCCCCTCGATCCACCCAAATGCACAGAGGAAACAGCAGGCAAAGACTAAAAAACACGATGCAGATGCTGCTATTTGGTCTTTTTATTTCCTGTTTTAAGCAGCTCTATTTTGGTATCGCTCCCAGCCAAGTGCTCTCCGCAGGGATTACAGCGCGCTGCACAGGCACCATTTGCTTTGCACCCTGCCTTGCCGCACAAGAGGTCGGAGCGGGCTAATTTGGAAAAGAAAAAAGCTCATTTGAAAGCTTCCCAGCCAGGTGGAAGCGCTGCCAGAGCTCAGGCTTCAATCTGGAAGCGGAGCTGGCCTCCGGGAGAGGCGTCAGCTGGTGGGCTTACGGCGTGCCACCGCTTCCTTCTGAGCGCGGGGGCACGGGGCCAGCGCCGGGAGCTGCGGCTGCAGCTGCTCCGAGGAGGGGAGGGGGCGGATTAGCTTTCCCCGCAGCTGGACTCGCGCGTTAGCGATCGCATACTGGGGAGGGCGAGTTCAGCTGCGGAAAAACAGCCTCCACCGGAGCCCGCCTGCCTCTAATCCTGCCCAACGCCGCACCTTTCGCTCGCCACCGCTTTTGCGACCGCAAGGAAAAAAAGCTGTTGAAGGAGGAAAGCGGGGTGTGGTGGGAGATGCTGGCTTGCATCGGACGGCCCTGTTGCGGGGAAGGGCAGCGAGATTCCCTGCTCCCGGGGTCTGCACCGGAGCCACCAGCTCCCGGTGATGATTTACGGGCTGGCAGCGAAGCGCCAAAGCGAGCTAGTCTGGAGCGAGCTGCTCCAGAGCCAGCGCGTCCCCGAGGCTCCTCGGTCTCCCGAGAGCAGCAGGACTCGTGACCGAAAAAAAAACCCCAACCGAAGCCTGCGGTAACTCTTGGAAAACTGGGTCACTGCTTTACAGCTGTTTATACTTCAAGTGGTGTTTTTAAACTGTATTTCAAAGGTTACACGGTGTGCCAGAATACGTGACAGCTTGTCAACGTGTCCTTTAGAGAAGAGCTCTGGGTGCTGGGGAGACGGGGCTCGTGCTGGCAGGGGGATGCTCGGCTGCGCCCGAGGTCCCGCACTGCTCCCCGGGACGGCCAGAGGAGGAGGAGGAGGAGGACACTCCTCTGGTATTCCCCTACGGAGAAATCATCGCTTGTCTCATTTCTTCCATGGCTTCTTGAGCAGTTCCACCCACTCCCATCATGTGTTTATGACTGGTGCATTTGTCGTTCAGTGATTTAATCAGGAAATAGTATAGACATTTCTCTAATACCATCTAATATTTACACGGTTCCTGCCGTGCGCAGGGACCGCGGCACCAGACCTTCCCGAGCCCTGGCCAGCAGGGTGAAGCCAAAGCCCGCAGGAGGAGGGGACGGCCCGGCTGCCCGCACAGTCCCAGCGGACATTAACTCCACATTCCCGTTGGATTTTTGCTTGGCCGAAATAAAACCTCCACTCTTGCATTTTGTGTGGAGAAATTAAAACAAGCAGTGAACCACACGTGGATGGGATGTGGCGGCACAGGAATTAGCCGTGCAATTCTCCTTGCCTAGTCTGGCTGAGATCTCCAAAGCTTAACGAAGTGAGATTCCAACTAAGCGACACTGAAGGTAATCAACGACTGAAGGAGTAGAAAGAAATTCTCTAAGAGACACCCTCACTCAGCAGGTGTTGCTGGCTATGATGCACTAAGAGTCATCCCTTCTTTTCCAATGTCTCATTAGGTGTTACGAGGCTTAGCGAGTTAATTAGGCTGATTCCCCCGCCAGCAAAATCAAAAGCAAAAGGTTTTCTTTAGGGGATCAATGCATCTTTTTAGTTATTGACTGGAGAGAGAGTTTTTAAAAGGGAAAAGGGACAGGGGACCCGCAGGCTCCGAGTCACTGCTGGGCAGGACCTGGAGACTTGTGAGTCTTTGGAAGTCCCTTCCTAGGCTGTCCCCGGCACCTTACCTCTGTAGACTCCTCCTGTTCATTAATCACTAAGAAAGCATCCTCGGTGGCCTGGCGCTTGGCATCCGCGATGGTCTGCTCCATCCGAGCCCTCTCGGAGGCAATCATCTCAAACGCCTTCTGCTCAGCCTCCGCCACCGCTTTCTGCACCTCCGACATGGCCTGGCGCTTCACCTCGTTCACGGCTTCTTCTGGAAGAAAAAAGCAGCTTCACCCACCTGCCCGAGGAGCGGGATGAGCCTCTGAGAGATGACAGAGAGGTCGGGACATGACGGTGGGGAGGGACAAAGGGACACGGTCAGGACCAGCATCACGACCGCTCCTGGGAGCGGCGGGGCCAGTGCCTCGCTGGCACTGGACAGAAGGAGCAGAGCCCTTCGGGAAACCCACGCTGGGGGCATGGGTAGCCAGATGTGCGCATCCTGGGGCGTTCCTGCAGCTGGGCTGCTCCAGTTTCCACAGAGCAAATCTGCAGCATCTGTGTTTACCTCAACCGATCCGGCAGAATCGCTCGCCGAGGTTACGAGCAAACACTTACCAGCTTTTTTCCATATCTCTTCAGTGACGTAGCCCGTGCCTGACCTGCTGCTGAACTCCCGCAACGAATCTGCTGGAATAAGGGACAGAGGGAAAGGTTGGCGAAGCCTCACTGCACCCGACTGCTGCCTCAGTGCCCGGCGGTACCTCGGCACATCGTGGCGCAGGGTAGAATTAACCAGCTAAAACTCAAAGCAGAGGATTCCTACAGTTAAAGCCATTCATCAAACACTCAGATGATAAATTACAACATTTAATTAGTGCCTTGCATAATTTATGACACTGTGTAACCCATTTCCATCTCCTGGTACTCTATAACAACAGACAAAGCTTATAAATACCTGCCATCGAACATCTGCGCTGCCCAGCGACTCTGAGCATCAATCTATACGTCCAGAAGTTTACATTAAAGTCAGCACTTCCCACTCCCGGGGGCAATTCAAAGGCTGATGGACAAACTGATGGACAAACCGTCCTGCAAGACCTCTTACGGTGCGAGGTGTAAACATCCCCCACCGCCCACGAGCCCGCGAAGAGCCTACATGACCTACGTGGCAGATGGGGACGGTCACACAGGGACCTAAACACGGACTGCAGTCACAGAGGGAAGCTTTGCAGCAGCCTCGTCCCGTGTTCCCTCTGCCTCCCTTATTTTACAGTAACTTTCTGAAGGGTCAAAACAAAGACTCATCCGATGTCAAAGGCCGGCGGGAGAAGAGAAGCACCCCAGGAAGGCGGTGAGGTTATTTAAGCCTGCGGCACACCTGGGGATGCTTCTTGATGGTTAACTGCACCTTCTCGCAACAGCAATGGAGCTTGAAAATCAGCCCGGGGGTTCCACCAGGGGAGAAAACATCAACAAGGTTCCCAATTTATAAAAACAAATAATTAAATTATATCACCTTTCACATGGATTTGTTCGTATATTAGTCACGATATACTTAAATACAGAAGAGCTCAATGCTGGCTGTGCTCCTCAGGTCGCCACGCATGCCCGGCCATCCCGCGGGCTCACCGCTGCTCTCCCTCGCGGCCGGGACCGCGGGCGCTCGGTTTCCAAGAAACTCAGATTAATATATTCTATTTTAGTTCCTCCTGCCTGTGTACTTGTTATTGTTTTCCCAGGAAATACTAATTCTCACTGTCTGGGAACTATCAAAACTTGTTCAATTGCAGTTAAATCCAGGCTGGGCTCTAATTTGGATGGTTCTTTTTGACACGCAGGAGGGTTAACTCTATTTTGTATGCAAAAAAGTTGAATGTATATAAAATCGAAAGTTTTAGTTTGACATTTATTATTGTTAGAAAACATCCATCTTCATTACTGAATGATCAGGGTTGGTTTTGGTTTGGGGTTTTTTTTTTTGTTTGTTGTTTTTTTTTAACATTTGATTTGCAGCAAATTTATTTGGATGGAAATCAGTATTACATCCAAATGCATAAAATCAGCATTTCCGACTTGTTTTTTCGTAAATGGTCAAGACCTCTGCAGACTGGAGGGGAAAAACAGTCAGCTTTAATAAAACTGAGTTGACTCATGATACAAAAATAGACTTAATAACTCAGGTAGTCGCTCTTACACTTACAGCAGTCTTCAGTATTTTTAGAATCAGTAGACCTTGACATTTAAAATCCTTTAGGCGAGACAGCCTGGAAGAGGAAGAGGGATGGAACCAACCATCTTCTGCCTTTTCATCCCCACCGGTTTCTCAGCTTTGAATGAACTTGGCTGGCTCCGGGCAGCCAGCACGGCTCAGCGATGAGGAAGACGCTCTCCTCCCGGCACCAGCAGAAGGTGCTGCTGCTGCCTAAAGGTGCCTTCAGACCGCAGCAAACGCTGCTTCCAGGAGCTCAGCCAGCTCCTGTCCCATGACTTGTCTCTCTTCAAAGCTTTGAGACCAGCAACGCGCTGCTTAAGTATTCCATTTATATTACCATTTGAATATACTATCATCACTTTATGCCTAATACAGCTTTGTCCTAATTACACACCTACTTTACAAGTCCCGGCACAGCACGCCCACCCCTCGCTTACCGCTGCCGATGGAGTCGGAGCTGCTGGGGCTGTGCTGCCTGGAGATGAGCTCGCCGCCTGCCTTCCGCGGCTCGGCCGTCTCGCTGCACCGCCTCTTCCAGTAGTTGAGCTCTTCCCGATCGGCCTCCTGACAGCGCCGCAGCACGGCCATGGAGCGCCGGGTCTTCTCCACCATCTCCATGATGCAGTTCAGTGCCTGCGGGGAGGAACGCGTTTTCAGTCTTGCTGACCGCTCATGAGGTCATCTCCCAAATTTCTTGTCGGAGGTACCACAGAGACCATCCCAGGAAGATGAAACACGAGGTCATTTCACAGGAACAGGCTCTGAGCACAGTATTTCGGATGATGCAGTATTCAGACAAGCGGGTAAGACTGGGTCCACACCCACACGGGCAATGCCAAGCAGCACCACCCGAGAAGGAGGTGATCCCACCTGCACCATGGGCCTTTGGTCACCACAGGAGGTTTAGGGCCGTGCTTCTATAGCTGGTGGTGAAAAACACCCACTTCCCTTTGGGAATAGGATGTCCACACAAGGGCTGGCTGTGATCCTGGTGCCAGCTCTCCATAACCACCATCCCAACTCATGAAACCTATGGGGCTTCTACTCCCCACGCCCCTAACCATCAGCTTTAGAGCACAAGCAAGCATGGGGTCTCGCTGCATTTGTGATCAGAGTTGAATTTCAGTCCCATGTCTTTGGGGGAAACACTCCAGCGAAGTGCTCGGATGAACAGCCTTGCTCAGAGGGAAAAAACACAAGACTGAAGAAAGTCTGCCAGGAGCACCAAATCTTGCTGTTGGTACCTAGTTGAGGCCCAAAAAAGGCTGGCGGCCCAGGGGAAAAAAAAAAAAAGAGTCTTTAAAAAATAATGTTGTGTTTACTTATTCCGTAAACTTCACATCCTTGCTGCACACAGCATATCCGCACGCTTGTCGGTGCAGTGCCGGCCTGGGCTGCTGCAGAAAAGACTCATGCAGAGACAAGGTTGGGTTTGGTTGCTCAGCCAGCCAGGGCAGTACATGGCCGCGCTCTGCAGGAGAAGCTCCCCAGCTCCAGACATGTCATCCGGAGTGATTTTGGCTTCCGCTGACCGCAGGCAGAGAACACCTGGCAGGAAAGTGCTACTGCTCCTATCTGCCCTCCCCACCATCCACCTTCTTGTGGTGGCTTGTTCCCTCTACAAGCCACTGGGAAAGTCTGGATATGGCATCAACAACAAGAAAATAACGAATTGGAGCAGGTGGAGCACTGGGTTGCTGCGTCCCACAGAGCTTCCCGCACCTCCTGCCGTTCCTTACGTGATCAAGATGCTTCCACTCGTCAGCCCACTCTCTCTCCGTTAGGCGGTGGTCCACCAGCTCGTCCTGGTATCCTCCATTCAAACCTGCAACAAACCACAGCCAGAAGAATGATTAGATGGACCAACTGCTTTCAGTGCTGGAGAGGGAAGGTGGCCCCAAAGCAATAATAAAAAGCTGTATTTCCAGCTACATATAGCTGGGATTTTAAAACACATCTCAAGGAGGTTGGCCCTACAGGGAAAATTCCACACCGGTGCTTTTATCCTTGTCTGTGTCACTGTCTCAGAAGTGCTACAATCCACTCCCGGGTCTGGATGTGACCTGCCGGGGGAGCTGGCTCCCTTATTGTACACCCACAGGAGCTCAGAGCTTGTGATACAGGCTGCCCCGGTGGAAACACAGCGTGCACCTCCCACACACCCCCGGGGAGAAACGGGGCGAGAGGCCAGGCTCTGCTCTCCTGCTTTAGTGATCTTGGAAAGGTTCATTTCTATTTCCCTGCCCTCCACTCTCGCCTGCTGGGTTGGCCATACTCAACTCGCACACTGGGTCCATCCTCCTCATCCTCGGTGGCTCCAGCCTTTACATGTATACAGGGCAATACAAACTCTCAATCTTCCCATTTTTAACCTCCCATGGTCAGTTGTTTTCTCCGAATTCCCTGCGAAAACTCTGCTGAGGATGTGCTCAGCATTATGGAGCTTTGGGTGCCAGTGGCCAAGCAGGGACCAACACCAAAGCTCAACTGCTGGACCTTCACAGCTCCTACAACTAAAAGCCCTCCGGGCTGTCTCACCAAGACTGCCGTGCCTGTCCCGAATCTCTCTGTGCTCCAACATCTTGCTGGGGTCCCTGTAGAGGTGGGAGGTCGCGATATCTTCCAAGGTGTAGTGCTGGAGGGGCGGTGGGGTGGGGTGGAACTGCCCTCCGGGGTTCATCAGGGGGATTGTCAGGGCAGGGCTGTGCCGAGGCGCGGGGCTGATGGTGCACACCCTCTTGGCCGGAGGCTCCGTCGGCAGCGGCTCCCTCTCAAAGCTGTTGTCTTCCCTTCTGCAACCGCACCGGCAGACAGAGGTATTCATTAGCACCGCATAGACATACCCGGAAAGGGAAAGACACAGACTTCGAAGCAGCAGAGTTTGGGCAGCGATGATCTTACCAGGGGGTAAAAAGAGGGAGCTAACCCAAATATGCTCAACTTGTGAGCAAATCCACGAAATGACCCCATCAAAGAAAAAGTTCAAGATGCCCGAGCGTTGTGATTCATCTTTCTGAGCATGACCAAATTAAAATTTCACAGTTTTTATAAATTGGAGGCATGCTCCACATAATTACGTAACAACTTTTAACTTGGAATAAAAAGTGGCGAAAATGAACCGCATCCTTCCCAGCCGAGAGTGCCTCCGCTCAGCGCCCGGGGAGGCGGAGAGCTGCTCAGCTCTCCAGCTCAGGAGAGAGCCACCTAAGAAGTCCCTCTGGGACAGAACCTGCCTGAAAGAGGATCCCAACCTGAACTCACAGCGCAGGAGGAGCAATCATCAGTGTCTTATTAACAGCCAGAATAGTCATTGGGAGTGGTAAGATCCTACGGTTTAGCCCTGGATGCTGCTTCAAGCTTTGACAGCAGCACAGTTGAAACAAAAGTCATGACTTCAAGAACTTAGCAGAGCGATGTAAGCTGGCGTAAGAGCGACGTTTTACCTGTCCGGACTGTGCCTCTTCCCATTCCCGTTCACCTCGATGAGCAGCTCGGAGGAGTCAGCGGGGGACGTGGTGTTCGTGTTCAGCACGATGTGCTCGTGCTGCGCCAGGTACTGGGAGGGCGTCTGCTTGGCAGCCCGGGCGCAGTGCAGCAGCTCTCTCTGCAGCAGCGGGAGGTTGGCCTGGAAAACAAGCGTGGGTCTGGTTCACGCAGGCTGCGGGCAGGCGTTTCCAGCCATCTGCAGAAGGTCTGCTCTACATATAATCCCTCAGAGCAGTAACACCTAGAGCCTGCGGCCCCCGCTCAGGATCCTCCAGCTCCCGGTGTCTGCGCTGTCAGATTTACCTGTATTTTCCCAAGAGCTGAGGACGACCTGACATGGGTGCACCCAAAACCCAAGCGTCGCGGGAAGCGCGCTGTGCTTCCAGCATCTAACCACCCCAGACACGGTCCGTACGCCAACACTTCAAATATCCTAGATCTGAACATTTGCAAAGTAGATTATAGGATCAGAAGCTGCCGAATGGAGCTTGGTTTGTCTCCTTTATCCCTAACATACAAGCAGACATATGTGGCACTCGTCGTAACGTTAGCTTTCCGCAAGCCAGTCCCACATGGCCACCACTACGGTCTGTGCAGTCTGTCTTGGACTTCAACAAAATTGCCGTGGTGCTCAAAACGAGAGCTTTCCCAGCAGTGATGTGCTGCCAAGCGGCACAGACCGGCACACAGAGTGTCAGCAAACCCCACCAGCTCCCTCTCACCTTCAGAAAGGGGATCACAAACGGCCGGAGGGGAAAGTTTGTCGCCTCTTGCAGCTTGCAGTGAAATTCCTCGATCGTCACCGTTGAGTTCTGGGAAAAGAAATTAAGAAATGAAATGACAATTTGTTCTTATTTTTAGACATGTGGGAAACAGCTCCAAATGAACAGAACTAGAAGGGAGACTGCATCTGCCACTACAGGACTGAATGTTTGCATCGGATCCTGCCTAACGCAGCCAAAAAGACTCAAGCCAATGGAGCAGAAATGTTGCACCAGGCGAAGGCTGAAGGCTGCGTGCAGCCGGGCGCTGCCCAGCCTAGCATCCTCCCAGCTCCGGGGTTGGGAGGCAGGGACCGGCTCCAGGAGGCAGCAGGACTAAGCCGGCATCTCCTGCACCCTGGCCAGGCAGCGGGGAGCCAGACAGCGATTCCAGCCGCTCAGAGCTGCACGCCTTCCTCTCCTCCTTCCTCCCTTCCAGCTCATCTCATCTAACCCACCCACCATCCACGAAGTCACCACCAGCCCGCTGCTCGCCCCACTAGCATGGTCCTCCCCTGGCTCAACCTTGCATCCCCCGCGGCCGTTTAGGCCGGGTGCTCCCAGGACAAGCAGCTTTTGATAACTCACACGTACAAAGTTCAGCCCTGCAGCAGTTACTGCAATCAGTGGTGAGAAAGACAGCTAGAGAAACCTGGAAAGCTCATCCTTTCCTTTCCAAAAGGGTAAGCTAAGACACTGCCCTACAGCCATAGGAATATATATGCCTTCCTTCTTCAGCAGCAGCCTTTTGCATCCAGTGCTTGAGCTCCTGAGGCCATGGACAGACCCCGTTTGCTCTGCCCACACCAACCCTGGAATGAGAAATACTCCAGGCTGCAGTCTAGCTACCTTTGCTGCCTGCTGAGCCCCAAAAGAAACCTGCCAAAAAGCAGAGGTCAGCTCAGGAATGGTGCTGGGTGCCACAGCGGAGCGCAGCCGGGCAGGCGGCGTGGTGCTGTGCTCCAGGGTCTCAGTCCAGGGTATGGGCTCGCACAGCATTTCTACCAGTCAGTTTGTATACCTGCAAATATCAGCCACAATTCCTCAGCAAGGCCTGGTCATTTGGCTTTCGAAGGGTGTTTTCAGCTCTCGATAGCTGCAAAAGGGCCTGAGGGTATACACGCACCACCGCCAACCCCAAAATCCAAGGGTGGGAGTACAGAAGGAGGGCAGAAGATGCATACAAGTTATTTACCAAGCCTTTTCCTGTAGCTGCACCTTCAGACTTTCACAAACAAAGAATCAACGCCTTTGGTAAGGCAGGCAAACGTGCGATCCGCAAAGCAGCAACACACCAGGAGCCCAGACCTACTATTTTGCAGGAGCAGCCTTCCCGTCCTCTGCAGACCTTGGCAACAGTCAACAGCACCGTGCTAGCGGGCTTGTTTAAGACATGCAGGAGCAGCCCATAAAGAGGAAAAAAAGCCCTTTAAATACGTTCACCACTCGTATCATAAATGAAATCTTTGAAACACCATGATATTCTCTGCACGCTTAGAACCACAGAATAGTTTGGGTTGGAAGAGACCTTTAAAGCCCATCTAGTCCAACCCCCTGCAACGAGCAGGGACGTCTTCCACCAGATCAGGTTGCTCAGAAGCAACTTGAGAGCAGAGAAGCGCTAAGAGCTTTCCAGAGCGAGCCCTTGCTAGCGCCAGGACCCAGTTCCCGACGGGCACCTCTGCTTTTTCCATTACACATGGAGTTTGAACACACTGAAGTCAGGGCAGCGCTAACGAAGCAGCGGCTGGAACTGGCATTTCTTTGTAAATTGATCTGCGGTCAGGGCCAGGCAATCACAAACCTGCATAAGCAAGAAAATACCTCTCTAGTACAAAACTACAGGCTCCTCCGAACTGTGTGAAAAAAGTTTCATTTATGAGAAAAAAAAGGGAGAAACCCAGCACAGCCTACGGCTTCCAGCGCGCCTGTGACACCAGACCTGTGGCCTTCACAGAAAAGCTTAATCCAAATCCTTCCAGGTTTTCTTAAGTTTAGCTGCACCCAAACTCATGCCAAAGCCAGTGGACAAACAGCTTTTTGAAGACACGAAAAAAAAAAAGTCAACCACTTTAGCAGAAAGCATTAAACGTTACAGAGTATTGCTGAGTCAACAGCTCTGCTCATAGAGACGTAAACAGATAATATTGGGTAACGTGGGCACGGGCTGGCGGCCAGCGTCCCATCGCCAAAGTGGTTTGGCAAAAGCGAAGCGGCCCGGGCCGCCGTGCGGTGCTTACCACTAACGCCAGGACGAGGGTCCGGACCTTCTCCCCGATCTCTGGCGAAATGTCGTTGCCGAACTGCTGCAGGGTGGTGAGGAAGCGCTTCAGCTTGCTGAGCTGCCGGGCGCCGCACGTGGCCGGGAGCTGCTGGTTCGTCAGCGAGGAGGAGGAGGATGAAGAAGGACCGTTGCTAAACCGCTGGGGTGGGGACGGTGCCCCGTTCAGCGTCGGGGGGGAATGGTTTATTCCATTGGGCACTGCAAATGGGAGACAGAAGCGTTACTGAGCATCAGATGGGCACGTCCCTGTGGTCCAGCGATTAAGAGGATCCATCTTCCACCCAAGAACCTGCTGCCGATGGTTAACTGCCGCGAGCAGACAGGGCAAGAGCTAGAAAAGGGGCTATGGGCAGAGCAGAGTCCGCAAGCAGTGCCGGAGGGCACCCAGCGATGGAGCTCTGAATACACGTGCCTTCTCCTCGACCTTCCCCTGCGCTTGGGGGGATGCTCTGCAGCCCCCGGCACCCGAGAACCACTCGCCCAGCCAAGGTGTGCGCAGGAGTTTTCCTTACGGGATCACTCGGATGTGATTTACACCACAGCAACTTCCCTGGCATTTCTCTCCTCCGCTCAGCGAGCTTCATTTCCAGGGCCATCGAACACCGACAGAATTAGGGCTCAGCGGAGCAGGGACACCTCCATTTGCGTGACACGGGGTCAGGCTGCAGGAAGCCCGTGCCGTGGCAGACCGACTCATGCCGTACACTCAGCCCAAGGAATTAAATGTGCTTTAGCTCAAAGTTTAGAGCCCTCAGCAAGAATTCCCGAGCAGCGTTTTCTGGTCTGCATCAGGCAGAAAATTACACCAGACGATCCAAGGATCCTTCCCAGCCCTGTCATTTACAGTAAGTCATCAGTGCTCGTTACAGCCGGGGTCCCAGGAGCAGATACTGCGGCTCAGGTGCCCCCACCTCGCCCCGAGGAGAGCCGACAGAATCCTGCCCCGCGGTGCTCGCCCGCCGTACCTCCCTGGGGATTTACAGGGAGTTTCGCAAACACAGTTGTTTTTTCCAACCTGGTCCCATCTGCAACTTTGCCTCCTGTAAGCGGCGAGCACGTCAAAACAGACCGAAGGGCTGGAAGTTTGGGAACTCGGCAAGGGATTAGAATAAATTGTTGACATCCCCGCGCTGCCGTTGTGCAATCTAAAGCCCTGTCTGAAGAGCAGCTGCGCGCTGGGGGCCCCAACTCAGTACAAACCCAGAATTTATAGGTGAAAAGTACATCATCGTCAACACAGTTTTAGCTGATCCACTGGGTTACCCTTAAAAGCCCAGCCCTGAATCCCTTATGGATGTAAGCACTGAAGAGAAGGCCACAAGCTCTAAAACCCATTTCAAATGATGGCATTCAGAGGAGAAGCACTGAAGCCACCCGGCAGAGCTGCTGCTCGCACGTGGGGCAGGGAAGGCGCATGCCGTGATGGTGCAGCAGCTTGTAACAAAAAAGATGCCGAAATTTCCACTGCAGCTTTGCAAGGACCACACCAAATCCTCATGACCCCAGTGAGGGTTTTTTTTTTGCAGAAGGCAGGAGGTACACGAACAGTTAAACCACTCTGGGGCACACCAGGGTGGGAGGCTGGAAAGGCTCCACGCACCTGGACCTGCCGTGGTGAGCGCAGGAGGGAACCTGAGAAGATTAACCAGAGTCAGTTACGATGCAAGGGAAAGATAAGGCTAAAGAGACCACCAAAGGTGGTTCCTGCTAACCAGGGGGTGACAGGCTCTTCTGGGGCATAACAAAGCCGTGTCCTTTCACAGGCAGAGATGTGACGAAACGAAGGCGAAGGCCGGGATTGAGAGGATGGAGCTGCAAAGGCAAAGGGAGCTCGTGCCTTTTTTTACGGAGCAGTGCAACCTGAAAAGCTGTCCACACCGGCTCCCCCAAAGCAGCAAAGGAACAGAGATGTCCTGCATGGGCTCGCAGGGTTAGCTACCGCGGGGTACCGGCAAACGCAGAGCTATGTGAAAGGCAAGGCTTCTGGCAATTACTCATAAAGAGTATTTATTTCACAATAAAACTGTTACGAATAGGGAGGAAAGCCGCCCAGAGAAGCTCCTCTCAAAACAGCAGAGCACTGCGCAGCTCTGCGCTCTCCGGCGGCCGCGACCAAAGCGCTTCACCCCCTTCTCTATCTTGCTTCCTCTTACTCTTTCAAATGAAAGGGTAGGGAGAGCAACGGGCTCTATTTATACCCCGGGAGAGGCAGGGGCTGCGCG